AATGCAATTTCCACCAAAATGCCCATGTCATTCTTTGCACAGATACAAAAATCAATCCTAAAATCCATAGAGAAGCATAAAAGACTCCAAATTACAAAAGTAATCCTGAGCAAAAAGAAAAACACTGCAGGTATCACAATACCAGACTTCAAATTATATACAGAGCCACACTAATAAAAAATAGCATAGCACTTCACAAAAACAGACATGAAGAGCAATGGAACAGAACAGAAGTCCCAGAAATAAAACCACAGAACTACAGTCATCTGATCTTTGACAAAGGAGCCAAAAAATACACTGGAGAAAAGACAGCCTCTTCAAGAGACAGTTCTGGGAAAACTGGTTATCTACATGCAGAAGACTGAAATTTAACTCATATCATTCACCCTGTACACAAATCAACCCTAAATTGATCACAGATCTAAATATAAGACCTAAAACTTTAAAAGTACAACAGAAAACAGTAGGGCAAGCTCTGGAAGATATAGGCTTGGGTAATTATTTTCTGAATAGGTTCCAGCAAGAGTTCATTAAAGACCATGTAGCTCCACCTTTCTGTCCTCATTGATGAAACAAACCAACTGCTGTAGTAGGTCTTTACAAAATTGGTCGAAAGGGCAGAAGTGATTAGTACAACAGCTTTGTTTTTATGAAAAATTGATTGATTTCTACCGCAGAGCAAACAATAACACACACGGTTCTGAGTTCACATGATTACTACATCTCACCTTCTCCAATTCCATTACACATAGTGTAATGAGCCACCTCTCAGTTCCATCACAGATGCAATGACTGAGTATAACAGTTGGTCAAGTTAATATTCCTTTGATAGGCCCATGATTATTTTTAGATTTGATGGTTATCAGATTAAGAGTGGGTTAATTCTAAAGTAAGTTGAGTTGGTGAGACTGTCAGCCAGGTCTCAGAGACATTTGACGTAACACTCAAAGGCTTGCTACATGAGGAAGCCCCTGTTTCCTGTTCTAGTGCAGCAGCCACACACAGTGCAGTGACCTTCCCCTCACCCTGTCAGTCTCATCTCACCACACAGAGCTCTGAAACTGAAGGAGAAAAATATATTTAGTAGCTAGAGAGAGAGCACAAACAGTACTGCTCAAGTTGGTCATGGCTTCAGTGTGGCTGGGTGGGAATGTCCCAGAGGGACTGATCGTCCTCTGTGACCTGAGGACTTGGGGACAGGAAGTGGCTTGTGAGGACTTTGGGAAGAAAGGGCAGCAGAGAATGAAAGTGGAATTTCTTTGTCCTCAACCACATAGCAGTAGATGTTCTAACCCTACCGTTAGCCTTCAGGATCCAGTATTGCCCAGAATTTAACTCAAGCCCAACCAGCAATGAGGGTATTGGAGAAGGAGTCTGTCATCCTGCAGTGTACCTATAACACCAGTGATATGAGTTATGGTCCACTCTGGTACAAGCAGCCCAGCAGCAGGAAGATAGATGGTCTTCCTTATTAGTCAGGACTTTACAAGCAGCAGAATGCAACAGAAGGCCACTTCTCACTGAATTTCCAGAAGGCAAGCAAATCATTCAAGCTTGTCATCTTGGCTTCAGAGCAGGGGACTCGGTGGTATATTTATGAGCATTAAGTGAGGCATAGTGAGAGGGCTGTTTGAGGAAGGTGTACAAAAACCCAGGGGTCAGCCTGGGATGTTCACTTGCTGTAGGGACCAAGGCAGGGAATCACCATCCCAGACAGGAAGTGGTCACACCCATGTCAGCACAAGTGTCACATTGGAGGGAAAATACTAACTATGAGAAAAAACATCTCTAGGTTCATAGGCCTAATCCAGAATTGTCATTAATGAAAAATGTTTGTATCCTGGAATCTTTTTGCTTGAAATTAGACCCACGACTTTTAACCTAAGATAAAGAAGGAAGAATAAACACAAAAAATAATTTGTCATTTGGCCATCATATTGAATTAGAAGAATTGGTTAACAAAATTCAGAAACATATGTGAGAAAAACCAGGACAAGTGTGCATGAATTGCTGGATTTTGGATCAATTTATCCAAGAAATATTTATTGAATAGCATTATTTAAATAAGAAAGGACTTCAAATCTGTATTTGCTGCCTTTTAAAAAAAATCATGTGCTTGGAACTATTTAATGATTAGTTTGATTCAGCCTTGTTTGCTTTGAGTACCTGGTATTCACATTTAATTTGCAATGGTGCCTATAGGGTGACATCTTTGAGCTTCCGTTTCCTTAGCAGCTCTAGCATGGAAGAGCTCAGCTTCTGTAGTGAACATTCACTTGTGCCTCACCTTTCATGTCCATGAAATGACCAATAGGTAATTGTCCTCAGGAGGACATGATGAGGGTCAACTCCACAGACACACATACACCTATTTACATGCATGTAAGGCATCCTTTTCTCTAATAGCCAGCAACATTTAATGTATTGGTTTTCCTCTTTTTGTGTATTATGTTTCCACATGCTTAACATAGTTCCTTTGATCGATTTGTGTCATGTTGCTCCAACCACAAAAGGTCATTTTACAGTGAATTTTGTTACCTATTAGAGAAAGTAATCCCTATTAGAGATTCTTCCTATTAGAGAAAGAATTTTTGATAATTCTTGTCCATTTATTTTTCAATATACATGTTACATATTTGTTCCACTTTTGACATGTTCAAAATCCTTTCATCAAAACAAACACATCCTAAAAGTTTGAAAGCCAAGAAGGTAAAAATTGATTTAATGATTATACCAACACATGAAAAACAGCTTCTTTTGTCGTTTTACTCAGAAAAAATGCTCTCTCAAGAAAAGGAAAATACTCTCTCTCTTAGAGGGACCTGGTGAAGGGGCAGAGTATTGGTTCTCTTTTTGCTCTCATCCTTCATTTACCTCCTACAAAGCCATTTAATGATGACATCTAGACCACTTTACACACCCCACCACTGTGATCAGTGCTCAATGTTCCACAGTCCAAATTCTTCATTCTTTTGAGACTTCTTCCTTCTGCCTTTCACAACATTTTCTTATGTTCTGTAATTAGTTTGGCAGTGATCAGCTAATAAGTGATCCTGCATTGTAAGTTCCTCTTATGCTTCCATTTGGAAGGCATAGGTGGAAACCATGAGTATTAAAGGGAAGCATTTTCTTTCCTCAAAGTTTTTATTAGTTTAGGATAGTTATATATGGGGTGATGTGACATTTCCATATATACATATAGTATAACCTGGTTTGGTTCATCTCCTCCATTAATCTCCCTCTTCTCCCACTCCTTTTCTTGAAATAACTTTGACTGGTTTTAATGTTCCATATTCCAATATGTACCTCAACTATATTCACCATCCTTTACCCTCTTCATTTACCCCTCCCTCCACATACATTACCCTTCTCTGAACATGATATGTATTCTATTCCTATCCTACATTGTTTTAGAGTTTGTTCTTTATTCACTAGAGATTTGGCTTGGTATTTTACCTGTAAATACATGGAGCTTTAGTCAATCAGATCTCCTCTGTTACTTACTCTTCCTTATCCTTTTTGTCCTAGCTTGTATTATTCAACAGTTTTCTGTGTGTTTTGTTGTATAAGGGAAACATTTTCTACAAATTAAAAAAAAACACTTTAAGTTGTTATAAAAGGTACATAATATCTCACCATTTTAAGTTTCTAGTCCAGCAGAATTAACTACATTCACATTGTTGTGCGACCATACTTCTCTAGAATTCTTTACATCCTATGAAATGGAAGATCTGAGTTATGCTTTACTTTTACACCCCAGCATCACTGCAACCTATGATGCATTCTCCCCATGTATCAATTGAAATAGAAGTTTGCAGCGCATTTTCCATAATTACTTTCCAGTAGAGTTGTGTGTTAGGTTCTGGCAATGTGATTGAGAGGTGGTGGAGATGGAAAAGTGATATAGATAAGTCCAAACAGTATTTTTACTGAATTTCTTATTTATGTGTTTCCCTAAGAAATTACTCAGAGGTTGACTGTGGACTCATGAACTCTGTTATCTGAATCTGTGGAAAGTCAATTTCAGGACATAGACTGAGTAAAGCCTCCTTGGGTGTGACAATCACCCTTGAAGCTAGAAATCCCTTAAAGTGTAACATTAGCACTTGCCTCAGTCCACAACAGATTACCTTGTCTTAGAGCCAATGAACTTGTAGGGGAGTAAGGCACTGATCTAAGACCATTCCACAGGGATTAAGTAACATAAATTACTATGCTTCTATGCCCAGGATTCATACTTCTCGCTTTTCAATGATTCTGAAATTTGGTAGTATTTGCATATTGATAAAATACTATGACTTTCCCCCAAAAAACTTTATGAAAATGGCATTTCATATCATTTATATCATTTTAAATCAGAGGAAATATAGTCTCTCAAGTATTCATGATTCCTCTCCCAAAGACCTTCTATTCATTTTTTGTTTGATTTAACAAATATGACTTCAGCACCTAGTCAGTGTGAGTCTCTGCTCTATGTGCTGGGTACAGTGCTAAAAAAAACAGAATCACTGAATGATGACTTGACTTCTTATTACTTCATATGATTTCAAACTGAAACAGTTTTATGACATTTCAGTGAATTGCTAAATTACCCAAATAGACACATGAGAATACAAGGACTGTGTTAAATCACCCACGATATTGACAGCTTAGTTACAGACACACCCTGGTCTGTTGCACTGAAGTACTTTTCTTGTCAGGTAGAGTCCTAACAACAACAATAACAGAGCTACCTGAAAGGCTGTGATAACTGTCCTTTCCTTTACAGTTCCATAGGACACCTCAAGACTGAAATATGCCTTATAAATGAGGTCTGGGAGGAGCCCATACTTCTATTTTGGAAGGACGCTAGTAAAATATTCACCCCAGTTCCCCACACTGTCCACCAGGGTGTGCAGCTTCATAACAGGAGCTCATTTCCTGTGTAAGTTGGAGGTTTAGACTTTTTATTTCATTATCATTTCAACAATTCTGCCTGTAAAGAATCAAGAACACTATTAGGTGACACTCTAAAGATGAACATTTCTCCAAGGTTTGTGACTGTGATACTCTTACTATTTGGTAAGTAAAATGTATTTTAAATTTTGGACTCTTTCCTTCATGATGTCAGGAAAATTTTTAACCATAAACTCATACAAGAGTTTTATTCCCAGTTGATGCAGAGTTTTTTTTTTTTTTCTCCTCCAGGAAAAACTAGTGAAGACTCAGTGACCCAAAAGGAGGGCAAAGTGACCGTGACAGAAGGAATGTTTCTGACCATAAATTGTACTTACGCAGCAACAGGTTACCCTTCTCTTTCCTGGTATGTCCAGTATCCTGGAGAAGGTCCAGAGCTCCTTTTCAAAGTCACAAGGGCTGGTGAAAAGGGAGCCCATAAAAGTTTTGAAGCCACATACAATAAAGAAACCACCTCATTCCACTTGGAGAAAGCCTCAGTCCAAGAATCAGACATGGCTGTGTACTACTGTGCCCTGAGTGACACAGTGGTAGAAACCAAAGGAGGAGCTGAGCACAAACTAAGCAGCTTCAAGGGCCTGACTTCTGGGTGTCTGCTCTAGGATCCTTCTTGTTTTAGCACAGTCAGGGGTATCACCTTCTGTTTCTCTCCGCAGAGGAAGGTTTCCTGTTTTGATAAGTGAGATGGCAGACATGGGCTGATGTTCAAAAGAAAGAGAGTGAGGAGAAACATAATTGAAGAAATGATTCAAGTCCAAGTGATGAGTATTCCTGGCAAGTTACATAGATCAGCAGTCTTTCTAATAAAGCCTAAGAAAGTTAGTTTACAGTGCCAATGGAAGATTAAGCACACATTTTTATCCTTTATCCCCATGTAACCCCATTAAAACAGCACTGAAGAAATGTAAAAGGACAAATCCACAAAGCATAGAAGCAGAAACAACCACAGTGATCACAAAATTGTAGCAGATTGGAAGTACAAGGAGGAGTGGAAGCTTGCATAACTTTCCAAATAAAGATGAAAAATGGGCCATGAATAGTAAGCCACCAAGGATCACTGCATGTGTGCTGTACCCTCACAGCAATAGTTAGGAATCAGAATCATAACTTATCCTGAAATAAAGCAAGAAAGAGGCATGTGTGTGTATCTTTGTGTGCAGGCATGTGTGTATGTTTCTGTGTACATGTATATGTGTGTGTGCTTGCCTGCATTTGTGTGTATGTGTGAGTATGCATGCATGTATTTGAATGTGCATATGTGCATGTATGAAGCACATGGAAGAGAGAAGATGGAAATAGTGAACCCACAGAGAAAATGCTCTTTACTACAGTCTTCAAAGCAGTCAATTATCACCTTGAACTCAGCAGAATATTGTAAGTGTCTTGATAAACTGAGGAACAGCACATCAAGATGTAGAAGAGCCAAACATAGAAAATCTGATAACATAGAAAAATATATTTGTCAATTACTCAATTTGGGGAAAAATATTACCCAAGAAAAAGAACACATTCAAGAGACCAAGATGGCACAGATAGCTTGCAGACCCTGGAACTCTGAGCTCTCGTAATTCAGAATGAATTCTTTAGATTCCTGTTAGTAAGCACTGGATATCCTAGCTTTTTTCTTGGCCAAAAAAGATACCGCCAATACGTAGGATGCACATAATATACAATTATTGACCTTTAAATTAACTTTTTGTAGCACATAGCAGCCCTGGCTGGCCCACATGCTGGAAAGCCATTTTTCCTTTTTTTTAAGCTCTCTTGGAAGAGCAAAAATTCAAAGTAGAGAACTATGGGACAACCTGAACCTGTCAAAATTCTTGAATACAGAACCTGTCTGCTACTTGCCTGTGCCATCCTGGAGCTTGCTCAGAATGCCACTGAATAAAACTACAACCCTGCCAGGGAGCTGATCATGTCATCTACTCTGTAGGGAACCACATAGTCCAGTGTATTTTGTGAGCAGATTGCACCCCTCCTGGACAAAACTGGTGGCCAAATAAATGAGAGAAAATTTTACCTCCTCCTGGTTGGTCAGAGGGCTAAGCTGACACAGCCTGTGTGGTGGCATGGTGGCCCAGCTGCAGTCTGGAGAAAATAACACATTCAACTACCTTGGGAAAACTTGCAGTGAGCTAAAGCTGACAGACTTTCAAGAGAAAAGCATTTGACATGAAGCTTAATTATATCTCCCAGGCTTGCCCTATATGTAGAAGGGGCTGGCAATTACTCACATAGCAGCTCCCCATGGGACCACTACAGAAAATCTGCCTACAAAAACAAGGGGACCAAGATTACCCACCCTCAAGAAGAGCCTGGGCTCAAACACCCTGAGTGGATTCCCCTCAGAGCAGTCCAATAGAAAGGGGCACCATCAATTGCCACAAAGTCCAGCACATCAACCTTAAGAAGGGGCAGAGACAGAGAGAAATCCCCTGCCAAAAGTGTCAGCACCTGGATTAGGAATCAGAGGAAAGAGCCCAGAGCACTCATTGAGCTGAGAGGAAACCCACTTCTCTTCATAACAAGGAAGAAATTTGACAATAAATATCTATAGCTATATATTTTTATTTTTTAATTTAAAAACTTTTCTATTATTTGTTATTACCTATCTTCCTTTTCCATTCTATTCAAATTTCAATTTGCTTAGCCCTCTCTTATTCCACTTTCCTTTCTCTCCCATATATTTTCCTTCTTTTCTCTCTTCCTTTCATCTCTTTCCTTCTTCTTCTCCTCCTTCTTTTCTCCCCACTGTCCTTACTTCCTTCACACTAATCACTCACTGAATAGTCTATTATAACAGCATTGCACATTACCCCCATTCTTTCTATCCCTGTGCAATCCCTGACAATAGCACTCTCCCCCACAATGACTGAACTACATCTTTACACATATTAGGGCCTTACTACCCTGTATTCCCCACACCTCATACATCTTCTCCTCCTGACCCCATTCCCCATCTATCCCTCCTCTTCTACCACCAACATTTTAATGACGTAAGTATCCATCTCTATGAAAACAACTTTTATCTCCCCAATACCCACTGTTCATACATAATATCATCAAGGGATATATATATATATATATATATATATATATATATATATATATAACTGACATATATGTAAATAACTGGCATGGGATTGAATCTGAATTTGTTATTGCTAAGTTACAACTCCAGGTCATTGAACAAAAATATTACAAGAACCTAGCTAACAACTAAGTCAGTCACAGCAGAGAAATTAAGTCAAGGGAAAGATAACAAGTGATTAAAATCCCCAACCAACTAATCAATAACACATGATCAAAGCACAAAACAGAAGCATGGGAAAAAAAGATGGCAGGGAACTACAACTCTCCAAAAGGCTAACAATAACACAATAGAGGATTTTACGGAAAGCGAAGAGGATGAATCCTCATTTGCTGATATCAGAAGAATGATGATAAGAATGCTTAATGAGCTTAAAGAGGACATACAAAAACAGTGCATCTCAAGAGAACACAGATAAAAAAAAAACTCAAGAGGACACAGAAAGAACTAAGTGAACAAATGAGGACTTCAACACACTCCAAAATGAAACTAAGGAGATTATAAAGCAAGAGTAAATGAAATAAAGAAGAAAGTACAAGATATGAAAGAGGAGTGGAACACAGATATGGAAAGTCTCAAAAAAAAGAAGTAAAAAAAAACCCTATAAATAAAAATGTTTTTAAGTCAAATAAAAAATGCTGTTGAAGCCCACTCCAGCAAACTGGAACAAGTGGAAGACAGAATTTCAGAGCACAAAAACAAAACAGATATTAAAGAAAAAACAGAATTCTTAGATGAAAACTCAAAAGCCACTAAAGTATTATACAAGAACTCTGTGACTCCATCAAAAGACCAAACCTGAGAATCATGGGCATCAAAGATGAAGACGTGCAAGCCAAAGGTATATGTTATATATTCAAGAAAATAATTGCAGAAATTGTCCAAATCTTGAGAGAGAGCTACCTATTCAGTACAAGAAAACTTCAGAACACAAACAGACATGAACAAAAAATAGAACCTCTCCATAGTATATTATAATTAAAACAAATAGCACAGAAAACAAGGAAAGAATACTGAAGGCTATAAGACAGAATACATAAATAACCTGTAAAGGTTAACCCATTAAGGTAACACCAGATTTCTCAACAGATACCTTAAAAACAAGAAAGGCATGGAGTGAGGTATTTTGAGCACTGAAAGAAAACAGTTTCAGTCCTAGAATACATTACCCAGAGAAGCTACCATTCAAAATTGAAGGAGGATCAAAAACCTTCCATGATAAACAGAAGCTAAAATAATACATGAACACTAAACCATCTCTATAGAAGATTCTAAAAGGAATCCTACACACAGAAGATGAAAACAAACATAGCCATGAAAGGACAGGAATTTTAAAACTTCAAAAAAGAGCAGACAAGTAATTAGGGAGTATGACAGAATTAGTTGCTTAAACACAATTATACAACAAAAACAATTAAATGTCAGGACATACCACATACCTCTCAATTATAACACTAGATGTTAATGGCCTCAACTCCCCCATCAAAAGACACCATTTGGCAAACTGGACTTAACACAAGACTCAACAATTTGTTGTTTACAAGAAACCCACCTCAAACAGAAACAACCATTGCCTTAGGGTAAAAAGTGGAAGATTTTCCATACTAATATCCTCTGAAATTAGGCAGGAGTAGAAATACTTATATCAGATAAACTTAAATTAGTCAGAAGAGACAAACAAGGTCACATCATACTCATAAATGGAGCAATACATCAAGATGAAGAACAATTATTAACTTATAATCATTCAATTATATTGTACCCAACTTCATTAAACATAATCTACTGGATTTAAAAATACAGATAGACTCCAACACAGCGGTGGTGGGAGTCTTCAGTACTCATCTATAACCAATAGATAGGCCATCCAGACAAAAAAAATCAACAAATAAACTCTAGAATTAAATGACACCATAGATCAAATGGACCTGACAGACATCTACAGACTATTCCATCCAGCAGCAGCACAATATACATTCTTATTAGCAGCTAACTGATAAGAATGGAAGAAAGAAGAATTTTGGAAATTTCTCCAAAATATACCATATTTTAGGTCACAAAATGAGTCTTTAGAAAATTGAAATATTTTGGTATTGCATACTCTGACCATAATACAATGTACAGGGATGTATGAAATCTTAAAGTGGCTGGGGTCACCATAGGAAGGGGACTAGGGAGGAGGGAAGAGGACTAGAGAGGAGTGAAGAGGACTAGAGGAGATGAACTAGTTGGGGTTGTAATACGCTTATGCAGAGAAACATCACAAGGAAACTCCCTGTGTAGCTATCTTTATCACAAACTAACAAGAACGTCACATTATTTTTTTAAACCTTTTTTCTTATACAAAATGGGGGAACAGGAGGGCAGAACAGGCTCTGCCCAGGGTGGAGAGAGAGTTGGAAAACTAGTAAAAACTGCACATTTTTTTTTTAAATCTATTTTCTTTTACAAAATTGGAGAACAGGGGGCCAGACCAGGTTCTGCCCAGAGGGAGTGGAGAGGTGGCAG